TTCTCTAAATTCAGATCCAGAACTCTATTAACAACAAATAACCAAAAGTTCATTGTCAAATTCATCCCAGGTCTGCTTGTAATAGGAATCGAGATCAGGGATGCAAATCGTCAAATTTCATTGTCAAATTCACCCTTAATTGCCCGCTTGGTGTACGTAACCACCATTTGCGGTTCTAGAAGAGGCGACATAGAGATCAGGGATGCAAATCTTGACGGGCTTCCCGTTGCGGGCCTTGGTCTCGGCCGAATAGACGACGAGAAGTACGACCTCGATTCCGGAGAGGAGACCGGTCGGTCTGAGGCGGGGTGAAAATGGAGTTTCGAAGGTAGGAAAAAGTGACGAGTTGCGTTTCTGATTTTTTCGATGGATCCTATAACGATTTTTCTATTATTTTGCTTGTTAATTTACATGTGTTAATTTCTGAAAAAAAAAAAATAGTTTTTTGAGTATTAATTTGATGTTGGTTTGTAATTTCTTGAAATGAGTATTAATTTGATGTTGATTTGTAATTTCTTGAAATGGGGCTTGAATAACCTGCGAAAGTTTTTTTTAAGTAGATTTTTTAGTGTTAATTTGAGGTTTTTAACTTTTTACGTGCTTTTTTTAAGTTGGGCTTGAATAAATTCTGGATTTTTTTTTTAAATGTCATTTTATTTTTAAAGTAAACAAAATACTTGGGGCCTGATATTTTGTATTTTGCCCAGGGCCCCAAAATGTTCAGGACCGGCTCTGTCATTAGGCTTATAAGTTGTGTTTATTTTTTCTGTATGAAGGATGTGGGACAAATACCAACTGAGCCGGGTCTCAAGCCCAACTGAGCTAGGTGACGGGTACGTCATCGCACGGTCCCACGTAAAACCGACTTTGATACTATGTAAGAAAGGGGGGATACGGGTGCACGTGAAGCTCACTATACGTGAGTGAACCCAGATGAAGCCCAAGTGAGGTTCCATCCCAAAACTAATTGGTGAGAGGAGAAGTAGCCTACCAGACTTATAAGTTGGGTCTAAATTTCATGTATAAACGATGTGGGACAACTCACAAGTGATATTATATCCTAATAGACTCTTTTCTTAGATGAGCTTAAACAGGAGAAAGGACGGTCAATAGTCCCGACTTCCAACAGTTATGTGCCTAAATGTCTATTATCATGATAAAGAACTATAACAATTAAGTGGATGCAGTTCAGAGAGCATGATTTTTACATGGTCATTATCTTTTGAACTATATTACTCATGTACATCTCACCTGCAGTTGTTGGAGTTAGTTCATAATTGAAAATGAAATTTCAGCGAGTGTACTTGTTGAAAAAAAAATTGCATACCTGTCCCTATTTTTGCGCCAAAATCTGGGGAGAAGGTGGAGGAAAAATTACGTCAGAATCTAGTGAAAGGGTGGGAAAAAAATGTCCAAAGGTTGTTGGCCTTCTAAAGACTCACTGAGGGGTAAAACGGTATTTTGACAAGCTCATGCAGTGAAATAGGAACAAATAGCCGCAGAACTGGCACGTCCAATACTCTTATGTCATCTTAAACGGTTTTGGGTGATTCACGCATACAAAAGTACAATACATGGGAGTTCGATGCAATTTTTAAATTATAAAGAGAAAACGTGCAGATTTCGTATAATACAAGAAGATACTGTATATTTTATCATTGGGTATATTTTATCATTGGGATGTGTAAGAACATATATGGCTTGATCATTCTCTTTGTCTTGCTAGTTATGTTTCCAACTTTTTATTACCAAAAAGTCCGAGTGGGTCCGAGTGCAAATTCGGAAAACCTTCATGAATAGGCCGTTACCTACCATAAAAGGCAATAAAAGAACAAGTCTTAACTTAATCACAATATTTTCTTAATTAAAGATAATATTCGTTTTATTTTGTCTTGTCTGCCTTTTAAAAATTGCAACAAGAGACGTGGAATAAAAAATTCCACGAGTGAACAAAATTGTGACCCCAATTTATGCCGCTTAGTTTTTCCTTCAATGTAAATGTACAAATGTTTTAATTTTTCCATTAATCCATATCTATATAATTGTAGGCAAACTAGTTAATATTTTCCAANAGCTAATCATAATTTTCTCAAATTTAAGAGTAATAATATTTATTTAATTGTTATATCATATAATACTTACTAATTATAAGCACATTAAGAGGTTTATGAAAACATAGTAAAAGGTTATATTTTTTTCAGTAGTATTAACTAAAAAACAGTAGGTCTATAAAAGTTAAGCTAAGTCGAGTTGTTTGCAAACACAGTTTGGTTCAATTCAGGAAATGTTGAATTCGATTAATTTTTTTTATTAAAATAAGTTGAGTTTGAACAATTATTAAATAGCTTATCCGAATTGAACTTATTCGCAAACACTCATTATTATTTTTACTTTTTTAATTTGCTTTAAACAAAATCACATTCTTTCTTCTGTTTATAAGTGATTTGAGCCAAGCCAAAATCAAGCTTTGATGAGTTTAATAAATGAACATTAGATTGATCATGAGCTCTTCTGTTTATAAGTGATTTGAGCCAAGCCAAAATCAAGCTTTGATGAGTTTAATAAATGAACATTAGATTGATCATGAGCTATTCGGATCGGCCAAATAATACCCTTATCTCTAAGAGCATGGTTGGATATAAATCCAACCCAAAAAATCCAATCATTTTTAATTCAACCACTTTTGTTAACTCAACTTTAACTTAACTCCACTATTATTAATATTATCAATATTATTAAATAATATCAATCAATCATTCTTACACACAACATCAACCTTAATTCACTATTCATCAACTCACATAATTTTAACCAATCATCACATCACATCTTCTCTTATCTACTTTTACATCAATTTAATTTTAATTATTTTATTTTAAATATTATTTTAATATACCCACTAACAACTAACCATATTAACTTTTTTAAATTTAACCAACTCAAACAAAAAATTCAATCAAAACAAAAACTTTTTATAACCCATCATGCTCTAAAGTTCTCTTGAGAAATAAAATAAAAAAAAGTAAAAAAAAAAAATGAATTAGAGCTGGTCGGCAATACCGGAAAAGTCCAATTAAAGGACCAACATAGTCAAAGTTTTAGTCCAAAGTCATGGAATAAATAAAGTGGGAGACTAACACGGCCACCAATCGAATCATCCACACGATCAACGTGCGCATTTTCAGTGGACATCCGACATCCCTTTCGTTTTTGGTAAAATAAAAAAGAGAATATTCTCTCTCCTCTTCCCCAAACTCACCGTCCACAACACTGTTTTAAATACCCGACATTTTGTCTTTCATAATCTCTCTCACGCACACACACATAACTCCTGCACACACGCACATACAACAACAGGCAAACTAAACCGATCGTCTCGTTGGTAGCCGACGGGTAGCTCGGGAAATGACTGAAACGACGTCGGATGGAGCTGTTCCGTCTCTCTTTTCTCCTTACCAGATGGCCGGCTTCAAACTCTCACACAGGTTCCCTTTCTACATTTTACTGCTAAATCGCGATTTCCCAATCACGATCTATGTTTCACGGTCTCTGATCACCAAGTGTTAATAGAATAAATGAATAAATAATTTTTGTTTTTGTTTTTTCTTTCCCAATTATTTTGAAGGGTTGTGCTAGCACCGATGACCAGATGCAGAGCACTGAACGCCATGCCCAACTCTGCCCTTGTTGAGTACTACACGCAGAGGGCCACAAATGGCGGATTTCTTATCACTGAAGGAACCATGATTTCCCCTACTGCCGCTGGGTAATCTCGTAATTGATCTCTTGCATTTCTGATAATGGTGATGGTGATAAGTTATCCAATAGTTGGGGATTGAATAATTGTTGATATTGTGTCTAGCAACCCACCTGTAACACTAATATTGCTGGATCAAAATTGGTTCAGATGCCCCGTGACAATTCATTTTAGTTCCCCAATTTTCGTAAAAATGTGTTGTTTGTCATCTCTTAATAATGTGTGTAACAATTGTCCATTTTATACTGTGTCATTTTTTTTGAAAAATAATAAAATACTTAAATAGTTCGGCCAATGGGTGCTAAGTGTCTTATTTTTTTGATCAAAATGGCCAGCAACATCACTTCAAAAAATTTGCTAGAAAAAATATTCACTAAAAGGTGAATGAGTGAATGGCCAAATTGTACCATAAGGCATAAACACATATAACTAATTGTTTGGTGAATGCGGGTTCTCTACAGGTTCCCGCATGTGCCTGGCATTTTCAACAAGGAGCAAGTGGAGGCGTGGAGGAAAGTAGTGGATGCTGTGCATGCTAAAGGTGCTGTTATATTCTGTCAGCTGTGGCATGTGGGCCGGGCTTCGCATCCAGGTACTGCACCTCATTTGATGGATCTTATTCGATCTTGAGCATTTGCTATGACTATGCAGTAGTCTTTATAGAAAATCCGTGTTTAAGTAATATTTTGTCTAGATTGTCTTTGCAGGTGATTTCTGATCTTTGATTAATGGTTATATATCCTCGCGATCACAAAAATGCACATCTGGCGCTAACATATATGCGACTTGGCTATTGTATTTATTGGTATCAAAAGAAAGTTAGCACATCAACCAAAAAATGTTAAATTATGAACTTATATGCTGGATTCTCTAGCTTTTAATTTTTTCTTTGTTTACCGAAGAGTTGCATGAAACATGCCATACAAATGTTGTGAGTGTTCAGTATGTGTTTGCTTGTGCAAGATCGACATTAATCCAGATGGTTTTCATGGGCTCTTTGTGTGAGGAAATCATGTTACATTTTGATCTCAGTTTTGCATTTGATCAGTTAATTAGCATATGCTTTATAACTAATGGATATTTTTGTGGGGGTTAATATAAACAGAGCTTCAGCCTGGTGGAATAGCCCCAGTGTCCTCCACTGACAAGCCAATATCCAAGAGGTGGAGAGTATTGTTGCCTGATGGAAGCTATGGAGTTTATCCTGAGCCACGCAAATTGGAAACCTATGAAATACCAGAGCTGGTGAGACAATATCGACAGGCGGCCATAAATGCCATTGAAGCAGGCCAGTCTATTTCTTCATGCTGTCATGCAATTACCTTTTATACCAATATGAATGCAAAAGTCAAATCAATGTTTCCTTTGCCTGATTCTACTTCCTATCCTAACTCTAAAACTGAATGATCCATATGATAAAAACTTGGATGATACTACTATAAAGTGGACAAAATTATGACCATACATAGAAAATTTTCTCCAATATGATTAAATTGCTTATCAGATTTATGGAGTAACTAGCAAACTTGAAGTTTGCTCCCCACGTGACACGGAACTGGAGTAGTCGGTATTATCGAATTTATGAATAGGATCACAAATTTGATTGTTTCGATTATGGAGTAAATAGAAAATTTAAAAACTTGAAAGAGTTGCATGAAATTAGCAAACTTGAAGTTTTGAAACATGCCATACAAACCCTCACATATACCTAAAAATGTTAAATTATGAACATATATGCCGGATTCTTTAGCTCTTATTTTTTCCTCGTATACCGGAGTGTTGCATGAAACATGCCACACAAACCGAGACTGAAGAAAACTTCAACTCCTAGTTTCGATTATGGATTAACTAGTAAACTTCAAGAGTTGCATGAAATTTTCGAATAGGATCACAAATTTGATTGTACACCTGACACATTACATGATTAGTTAGCCCTTGTATTCCATGATTTTGAAAATCGTGAAAATCGCAGCGCTGAATTTTCGCTGAGGGTTTTCTTTTGTACATCTTTTTCGGTCAACTAAAAATATTAATCAATGTGAACAGGCTTTGATGGCATCGAGATACACGGAGCCCACGGCTACCTAATCGACCAATTCACAAAGGACGGCATCAACAACCGCACGGACGAGTACGGAGGGTCACTCCAAAACCGCTGCAAATTCATCACACAGATCGTCCAATCAGTGGCCTCAGCCGTGGGGCCATCCCGAGTCGGAGTTCGTATCTCGCCCGCAATCGACCATCTCGACGCCGTGGACTCTGACCCTCTCACACTGGGCCTGGCATTAATCGAGCGGCTCAACAAATTTCAATCAGATTCCGGATCGAGGCTAGCGTACCTGCACGTGACGCAGCCTCGGTACACGGCCTACGGGCAGGCAGAGCCCGGCAGGCATGGAAGCCCGGACGAAGAGGCCCGTATGATGAGGGCGTGGCGTGGGGCCTACGACGGCACGTTCATTTGCAGCGGCGGGTTCACGAGGCGGCTGGGGATGGATGCGGTGGCTGGGGGTGATGCGGACCTGGTGGCTTACGGGCGGATGTTCATTGCGAACCCGGATTTGGTGGAGCGGTTGAAGTTGGATGCACCTATGAATAGGTATGTTAGGGCGACTTTCTACACGCATGATCCTGTCGTGGGGTACACGGACTACCCTTTCTTGGGAAATGGCGGTGGTGGAAAAATCGGGCTGGTTTCGCGTCTGTGAATCGGTATTGTTATTCTGGGAGGCTGATAGGTTTTCTTACTTATCAGAAAGATTTAGAACATATGCGTGTATTTTTTGTGTGTACTGTAAACCAATTAGAACGACTCGAGTCCTGATGGAATAACGATATATGGGATGGGGTGAGGAGTTTGGTTTTTGGTGCTGGACTGAATCGAGTAAAAGCTGAGTTTTAACTTTTAAGCTCAGATAGTTTCGGTTCATGAATTTCGTAATTGTGTAATAAAAGGGTTAATTGCAAAAAAAACCCAACTTTTTTTAAAGTTGAGAAAAAAAACTCAACTTTTTACAATTTAGCAAAAAAATACCCAACTTTTCAAAATTTAGCAAAAAAATACCCAACTTTTCAAAATTTTTGCAATTGTGTCTCCAATTAAGATTCCGGTCAATTAGTGCTGAGGTGGCTTATTGGAAAACTTCATGGCATCAGAACATTGACGTGGAAAAAACAAATTAACACTCGGTGCCACGTCATTGTACACGTAAGAGTCCATCTCATCTCACTTGCCACGTCAAACTCAAGAGATAATATTCCCCAATCGTTGTCTGTGGTTGAATCAGAAGAGGTCCAAGAGGAGAACAGAAAACTTCACGCTAAGGGCCTCTGTGATTCTGTGCTCTTCAATTGCCACCTTCTTCACGCACGGCAAATCGATTCCTTCTTCATCCGATCTTCACGAGGACTTCCTGCCGCTAACAGGTATGATCTTTTTTCGCAATTTTCGAATTCCTCCAATTGTTTTCGAAAACCGTAAAATTTTTCTCCATGTTATTTCATTTTTGTTCACAATCAATCTGAGGAGGTGCTTCATGTCCTGGAAATAGACTTGCGATGTTAAATTGTGTAAATTGATTGAGTCATTTGCTTTTGAGTTGACATTCTTGTGCTTTTTTCTGATTTTTCTTTTTCAATGCTGTTAAATTTTGTTAGCAAATACTATGAACATATGATTTTCGACTTTTTTTTTGGGATTCCTGCAAAATCTTGTTGAATGATACACCGACGTGGCCTTCCTATGTGTAAGTGAGATGACATGGACTATTACGTGTACAATGACGTGGTACCGAGTGTTAATTTGTTTTTTCCATGTCAATGTTCTGATGCCATGTAAGTTTTCCGATAAGTCACCTCAGCACTAATTGACCGAAATCTTACTTCGAGACACAATTGTAAAAATTTTGAAAGGTTGGGTATGTTTTTGCTAAATTGTAAAAGTTGAGTTTTTTTTTGCAACTTTAGAAAAGGTTGGGTTTTTTTTTTTGCAATTAACCCTAATAAAAACTAGTTTAAATGCTTTTGCATCATTTTTAGTCTTTCAACAATCTTACTTTACGGACGGAAAATCCAAACTGGGGTAGTCTTGTCCAAGGACTATCTGGAGCTAATCTTTATAACCAATTGCAAGAGCACAAAAAGAGAAAATAAAACTTATAATCTTATTAAGATTTTAAACAAAAAATTCACAAAGGCTATGTATGGATTGAGAGATTTATAAGTGATTTGAAACTATAGAATACAAATTTACAAGTTCGAATTCCCGATAATAGAAGTTGGATGATTTTAAATTCACTCAAGATAGACTTTAATCATTATTTTGAAGAATTTTAAATTCCTCAAGGGCTTGTTTACTTGAAGGGATGAGATAGGATGTGATAGGATAGGATGGTTTAATCCCATGAGTCAGCTTTTGTCCCATGAGTCAGTTTTACTAAATCTGTAATTATTTGGACATTCAAGGGTATAGTGGATATTATACATGCGATTTTTTGGACAAATATGTCATTTTTGTGTTGGGATAATAATATCCCACCCCCAAGATGTGATAGAATTATCCTGACAATCATGGTACAGAAGTGTATCCAACTGCCACATAGATGACACATATGATTTATCCAATCTCGATCTCTGCTAGTAAACACCTGATAAAGTTGGTTAATGAATGTTATCTCATCCTATCATGATAAGTAACGAGACCCAAACCTATTAGTTTGAAATCCACTGTTTATCCCATGACGATCATATCGTCTGCGAGTATAAATTTTCATTTAGATTTATCTCCACCGCGAGCTAATACCATTGAAGCGAGCTAGACTGTGAATTTGTAGTCCTTTCCATAAATCTATTTAAGGAGTTTGAAAATAGCAAATTTAAATTTTTAAGGATTCGAAATCAAGGTATTTCACAAACAAGCGATTGACTATATTGGGGGATTGTGTGTCTCTATTCAGGATGTGTTGAATATGTTTACACCAGCTTCCGTTTCTGAGGCTCATCAGTGAGCCTCATTAGTTGAGCAGCAGCAGGCCTGGAAGGGGGGCACTTCTTTTGCGCCATCTACAAAGGAGCCTCTTGGGACTTCGAGTATCGCGCCGTCTACGGCAAAAGCTCCGTTCGATTTGAGTGCTCCTTCTGAAGGCCATGTGGTTGGTCCTACGATGGGAAGTGGCAATCGACAATCTAGTGGTCCGCGTTGTTTCACTTGTGGTGAGCTGGGGCATCATCAGGCACAGTGCCCGAAGTCGAGAGGGTCACGAGCTTTGATTGTTGATGAGCCAGACTCGACTGCTTACGATAGTCCTCCAATTTTCGATAAAGAGCCGGATGTTCCCGAAGTGCATGTTTTGGGAGATGTGGGTCACGCGCTTGTTCTTCGTCGATCTCTTTTGTCTCTGCACTTCTGTTCCGAGGATACGGTCCAGCGTCACCACCTTTTTGAATCCACATGCACCATTGGTGGTCGGGTGTGCCGTTTTGTCATTGATTCCGGTTCCTGTGAGAATGTGATTTCAAACGAGGCTGTGATGAAACTAGGGTTGTTAAGTGAGCCGCATCCAGATCCGTATGCTCTTGCGTGGATACAATATGATGATACTGTTCGTGTCACCGACGTGTGTTGGTGTCCTTTTCTATCGGATCCTCTTATAAGGACATGACATGGTGTGACGTCGTGCCTATGGATTATTGGCACGTTTTATTAGGCCGACCTTGGCAATTTGATCATTCGGTGGTACATGATGGACGCCTCAACACATATAGTTTTTTATTTGAGGGTGCCAGCATAGTCCTACATTCGTCGTCATCCGGTTCTGGTCCTTTGCCATCGTTGTCTCCAGTTTTATTCGTCTCTCGCGCCGAACAGTGTAGGGAGTTATCCGGTTCAGTGGAAGGTCGCTCGATGGTCTTTGACGTAGGTGATTTTGTCGATTGGGTCACTCAGGACGCCGACGAAATTGTGGATTGGAGGGCGAATTCTCTCCATCCGGGGGAGAATGATGCCAGAATATCTCGACAAATATGATCGACTCGTCTCATCAGTTTGAATGTTATCTTCTTTCTTCTTCTTCTTCTTCTTCTTATTATTATTATTATTATTATTATTATTATTATTATTATTATTATTATTATTATTATTATTATTTATGTTGTGTTTGGGCTTGTAGTGTGTGAGCTTTTAAGCATAGGTAGTTAGGACTTGTTGTTTTAAAAACCGATAGGGACGTGTTTGTTCTGGCAGTTGTGTATTATTGAAATTGAATCAGAAAAGAAAAATGGTTTCTTACGTGTTATTTGTTCTCCCATCACACACGCTGCATCAGTATAAATGAATGGCAATCAGGATACTGAGTAAACAACTCTAAGCAACAGCATGGCCACCCCATAAGTGACCACATCAAAAGTGCAAAAG